GGTGTGGGGGCTCCAGGCCAGTGTCCATGGAGAATCTTGGTGTTATTGCACAGTTTTTGGCTTCAGTCAGGTATGCTGTTTGTCTCGTAGTCTCATCATCATCCCTGTACCATTGTTTCCTTTTCTGATCTTTTTGTTTTATTACGCTCCTCTCCTTGCTGTCAATGCTGGCAGTTTTTGTTTTTAGGTCTCTGAAAAATTGATCCTGTTTTGTATCAGGACTTACTTTATTTCTTTGGTTTAAATCCGTCTGTCTTCTGCAAGCCTTAGAACTGGAGATAACAATTCTGCTGCCTTCTCAGGACAGCTCTGGCGATGCCCCGTGCCCCTGCAGTAAAAGGCACATGAGCCACACCCAGCCAGCACCAATATTCATCTTCTTAGCGGCTATAGTAGCACAGTTCCTAAAAGGCCCAGATCTGCCTTGGCCTGCTAGCAGGATCACCTTGAGCATTAAATGCAGTCAAGTCTTGTCTTACGCAGTGGAGAGAGCAGGACTTCTTTACCACTGAAGACTGCAACTTCACAGAAGAAACTAAAAGCCAGTACAGACACAAAGCAGCTGTCTTCAGTTGATTTGTGTTTGAGAGAAACTTAAGCAAAGTGTAGCATGTGCCTTGATTATGCTTTAAACAGGGCACATTTGTTTTAAAAATCATGAAGTATGGCCAGGCGGTGGTAGCTCACGCCTTTAATCCCAGCACTCGGGAGGCAGAGGCAGGCGGATCTCTGTGAGTTCGACTCTGGGCTGGACCGACAGTCTTCAAAACAATACAGAGAAACCCTGTCTCGTAAAACAACAACAACAACAACAAAAAAATAATGAAGTGATTTTCCTCATTGGCAGAGAGAGATGGGGAGAGAGACAGACAGACAGACACTTGGAGGACAAGAGGGTGTCTTGTGATAGAGGAGGGCCAGCAGAGCAGGCATTGTCTCAAGCTGGCCTTGCTGGAGTGCACTGGAGTGATTTCTCTCTGAAAAGTCACCAGGAGATTTATCTTCATTTTATCTCTATTCTTGGAACCATGGTGCCCATTTAACCTGGTGATTTCTATATTGGGCATTTTGCTTTGCACTGAAGTGGGGGAACTTTAGTGAGTCGGATATCTTGCTATATTGCTGAAGTGTTCCTGTCCTGTGTCCCCCTCTGTTCTGAGTGTTGACACATAACCTAGTAAGGCAGCTACTGCTGTGACCTGTATTTTACAGATAAGCATCTGACTCTCTAAGGAGCCATCTGGTTTGTCCAAGGCCATTCAGATAGTGAATGGCTGAGCCAGGTAAGGTGATCCCCTAGGGCATTCCCACTCATTCTCAGGCCAGGCTCTATAAAGCCACTCACTGCTGGGCTCTAAATTGTCTGTACTCACCGGAGCCATCAAGAGTCTTCAATGAACCCCTTGTTTTTTTGTTTGGATCATCTTTGTAGACATTGAAAATACACTGATTTTGCTAACTCTATGTACATACGTACGTACGTACGTACGTACGTACGTGTGTGTGTGTGTATGTGTGTGTGTGGTGTATAAGTGTGTCACCATATGCATGTGGAGGTCAGAAGACCTTCAGGGAGCCTCCTAGCTCAGCCTTCCAGTACTGAGAGTGCAGGTACACAGTGCCACACCCGCATGTTCTGCGAGGTCTTCAGATCACGCTTGGCTGGCAGATACTTTACCAACTGAGCCATGTCTCCAGCCTCTACTTTTCGATTGTGAAAAATATACATTCAGAAATACCTATTCGGCACACAGATTACAGGTTAATTATAAAGGACGTATCCATGTCACCACCGATGAAATTTTTTCAACTATGGAAGACCAGGAGTGTGCTCTTTTCTGATCAAAACCAGCATCCCCTTACCCCACCACACCCCACACACTTCTGGCTGTTCATCAGCCTGTAGTTTTTTCTTTTGTATGTGATAACCGTGTGTTTGCGGTTTTGACAGTTTAAACAATTTATGTCTATCACTAACTGATTAATGGTTGGACTTTCTCTGAATGGGAATGTAGTGAATATAGTGTCTTTTGTCTTGCTCCTTTCCATCAGTGGCATGTTATGAACTTTGTATTGTTGTGTGCAGCTGTACTTGGCTCATTATTGTTATTTATTTATGCTGCTGTAATTTTCTCATTCTTCTATGAAAGCAGGTCTGAATTGTTTTGAGTTTGGGGCTATTTAAATGTGGCTACTGTGGTCTGAATACCTAATATACATGTGTGAGTTCTCTAGGACATATTCCAGGGATAGAACTGTGGGTTGTGATGTAGCAATAGCTTCTTCATTAATGAATGATAGTCTTTTGTTTTCAACATGCTTCTATTAAAGTCGCCCTCCAGTGTATACAAGGCTATATGATGTGTACCAGTTCTCAATGTTTGACCTACCTGCCCCCTCGTGTAGTGCTTTTTAATCTTTGCCAAGCTGGCAGCTGTGTGAGAGTGTTGTGCTGAGATACTGAGATACTGAAACTTGAGATACTGAAAGCGCTTGGGAGATTTTCTGTGTTTTCTGCCATTCTGACTCTTTTATCTTTTCACCGAGACCACCACAGTTGGTCTTAATTCCAGTTCTGAAAGTGGGAAGCAGACGGAATCCCATGGTGTACTTTTTAATGTTCAAATGCCGGCTCTAACACCCAAGGTTACCATGGCATATGACCCACCCAAGAAAACCAATTTCTCTAATATTACCCTCTTTTAGGACATTGCCCCTGGAAACTAAGAATATCCCATTGTGATCTCAAACCACCCAGCAGTGGATCTATCAAAGTGTGTGTGATCCCTCAATGGATGGAGAAGACTGACTGTGTCTCTGTTTACCTGTGAGAACAGTCATATATGCCACCAAAGGAAACAGACATTGACCATGAATGAACGAATGAATGAATGAATGAATGTTAGTGGTCTGTTTTGTGACAGTGTACAGAACTCATTTCATCAGAATTCCTCTCTTGTTAGATGCCAGGTTTACTATTGGAAAACCCAATTCATTCAGTCATTCCTTCTTTATTCATTCTTTCATCCATCTACCCATCTACGGTTCACCCATCCACGCTGCTATTGGATGCCTGTTTTGGGGGTGTGGGAGACAGACTGACGGATGGATAGACATATGTCTTCCTGTCACACTAGTATGGGGTGCTTCTGGACAGGATGATGAAACTCTGGATACTGAAGCCTGGCCGACTTCTTCCACCATCACCATTGTCCTCTATTTTTAGCAACAGAATAACATAAAAATGTTCAAGTGTTTTTTTTCAAACACAATCTCAGCAGAATTTTAAAATACAAACCGAGTTTTTTTTTTTAAGGTAGTGTGTTTGGTTCAACACAGAACAGCACAGCTCCTGCCATCTAGCGCAAAGGTCCCCAGGTAGCAAGCTAGCGGAAGAGCCACTGACCTTACGCTCTGCCCTTGGTCTGGCACAAATTCATACTCTGATAGTGTGCATGGCTGTTCCTCACTCTCAGGTGTAAATGTGCAGACCGCAGGAGCCACACAGGTAGGAACAGGCGTCCTCTCACGTCTTTCCCAATTTTGCCCCAGACCTCTTTGTCTGGAACCACAGAACGAGAATAAGGACACTCACGTACTCCAGATTTCTCCAGCTTACGTCCTCTGCTTTTCCTTTCCCTGCCCCAGTTGAATGCTAACAACAAAGGGATATCAGAAACAACTCTTTATCTCCTAAGAGGGGTCAAGAAAGGGGATATAAACACATTTGGTTAGAGTTGTTTCTGCAAATTTTATTAACTCGGAATTACATAATCATTCTTAATTTTCCTGTGGATAGAGGACAGTGTTTCCACCATAATTTGAGACTTGTGGCAGTTTTGCCCCCGGCAAGCTGAGATGAAAATAGTGAATTCTGGGGCACCAACAACAGTGTGGATACACATCTATGCCCATGGGCTTAACCAGCCTCTTTGTTTGGCTTCTCTTTTTCTTCTCTCCTGTAACAGCTTTAGTAATGTGTGCCCATATCACACAATGATGTTGTATTGAGCAAAGCCCACATGTGTTCTCACTGGAAATGCAATAAAGCGTTCTGGCTTTTTGTACGGCTGTATAGAAAAGGACCTAGCCCTTAAAATAGAACAGTGCTCAAGTCTAGAGCCTGAGCTGTGAGTCTGCTCTCACGGACACCATTCGCTCTGTGACTTCCCCCATGATCTTCCCATTTCTGAATTTCCTATTCTGCTTTTTTTCTTTTGTACATTTTAATATTCAACTCAAGGACAAGAAGAAAAAAGTTTAAGCAAATACTTACTCAATAGATAGAGAAAATGCTGGGGTAAGCTAACTGTGCCTGAAATTGTCAGTGTCACCCACAGTGCTAAGAGTCACTTATTGAATTGGAATGTCTGGACTTGGCAGACACTTGCCCGTTGGCCACTCTGCACCATTCTGTACGCCTCTCACTCCCAAATTCCCTCATGTTTTTACATTACTGGCCCACTTGAAAGCCAATCTGGTCCTTTGTCGAGTTACACAGTTATTTATTCCAGTTTGCTTTTCCTTCAAGTGTGCAATTCGGAGTCCTAGAGGCCTGAAAAAGACACTGCTCCTCCGTGGGTGTTTTGATGCAAACACAGTGCTTATCCACAGAAAGCGGTTACAGGAATCTAGACTTATAGCCAGGAAGGATGTGTAATGCCAACCTCCCAGTTTGACAACGGGATCCTGTAGGCTCTGTAGTAAACATGTGGAGTTTGCCTGCATGGTTGGTTATGATTCATGGAGCTTTATCTTGGGGTTCTTGGAGGTAGGGGGCAACTTGGAAATGGGGTCTTTTTGCCTGTCTTTACAGATGGCAAACAGCCTTTCCAGTTCTTTCTGTTTCCTTCTATATTACCCTTTTTACTACCCAGTATATATATATGGCAGTTTCTTCTCAATTGAATGTAGATGTTTCCATGTGTGGGGTTTACCTGACTGTTGGAAGCTTCCTTTTTCATTTTAATAAAATTCTCTCCCCCCTCCCCATTTCTCAGCAGATATCTGGAGTGACCACTCATTTCAGACGGATCCGGACTTGCCGCCTGGCTGGAAAAGAATCAATGACATTGCTGGGACCTATTACTGGCACATCCCAACAGGAACGACTCAGTGGGAACGGCCTGTCTCCATCCCAGTGGATCTCCAGGGCTCTAGGAAAGGGTCACTTAGCTCTGTAACGTCATCTCCTACCCCAGAGAATGAGGTAAAGTGGAGTATCTTTTTACATGTGTAGTAGATGTAACTCAGTTTCCCTTTAGACTAACAGCCTCTGCCCCAACAGGTCATTGAGGTAAGCCTTTTGATGGCCGTGCATGTTGTATTTGAGAACTCAGTAATGCATCCTCTCAGAAAATAGTGTTAATATCTGTCTTCGGGGCTCTTCTCACTTGTAATGGATTCTGGTCTCTTGAAACGCCATTCTAGGTACAAAGACAAGAGGAGCTGATTAATGGGAAGTACCTAAGTTTCCCTAGAGCTCATGGAGACAACCATTTACTCAGCAGGTACCGTTGCACGGTGCTGGATCCATGAAATATTTACACAGAGAAGAGCAACTCTTGGCCAGACGTGTTATAATTACCACATATCTTATTAGCCTTGGGTTCATTTGCTAGCATGTAGAAGATGTCTTTGCAGGAATAACCCTTGAGAGCACTTAAATGCTTAATTCCTATTTAAGGAGGAAAAAAAAGAGATGTGTTTATTTAGCAGAAGTGACATTATTTTGGAAATAATTAGCAGCATAAATTCCGGGTATCCCCGAGGAAGAAATCAGAATGTTTAAACAAAGAATTGAGGTCTTAAAAAAATTTCATTGTGGTATTCATTCATGTAATGATTCCTGCAGCAAATGTTTGTCAGTCCTAGTAATAGCACACTCAAGATAATTATCACCAGGAAAGGTCACAGCCAAGTGACAGCTTTATTCATTTGTTTATTTAGTTATGTATTTATTTATATCAATGGCTTCTCTAGCAGGCTATCTTTTCTGCCCCCCCCCCCCCTTTCTGGCAATCCTTTGTTTTTTTTAAATAAGCTCAGTTTCTTCTGGGTTGAGAAATGAGTGCCTTTTGAACTTTACCCCTGACTGGCCAAACTCTTCTGCATTTGCCACCCTTATCATCCATCCTGTCTTTAAAGGTAGCCAGCATCTTCTTCCTGACTTTTCTGGGTGGTGACCTGTGCTTCTCTGGGCAGTAAGACTGGTATTGTACTCAGCTTTCTGCTTTAGAGGGCTTGGGCATCTCCCTTCCCCAACAGCCCCAGGTCTCTTAGACAGAAAGGTTGGCGCTGTCCATACCCTCTGGTAGACGAGCGCCTTGGCCGCTTTGGACTGCCCCGGTCATCAGGCGTGTGGTCCAGTGCAAGTGAACCACCTAGGGTTTTGTTGTGTAGCGCTAGATGTCTTTGATGGCTTTTCATCAAAGCCTAACAGTTCTTCATCCTACCCAACTTCTATCCAGGGACTTATTATTCACACTGTGTTAGGTGTGCTTGGAATAAAAATAAACCAGTGAAACTCTAGCCTTCAACAGGTCTGATGTGAAGGAGTCTACTTCCTGCCCCATCTCAGACATACCCTGGACTTACCGATGGCCTCCCTGATGCAGAGCCAGCCAGTATATGCCTCTGATCTTGCTATAACAGGGCTGAGTTATTCTTATTCTAATTGTTTAGTTGTGTTCAACAATAGAGAACCCACACCAGGAGAGTACTTTACAGATAGGGAAACTGAGGCACAGAGCTATCAGTGACACACAGCAGCTCCCAGGGCCTCTGAATCCCTGGCCAGTATTCTTCTTGGTGCCTCTGGCTTTAGTTTTTCAGTGTCCTCTGCCTCCTGTTGTCCCTGAAGTTGGGAGGTTGGACTAACTCGTATTCTAGGTGCCTTGTGTCCTCCATACTTAGGAGAGAGTAAGCACTTCTTTGAACCTGGTGGCATCCAAGGAGTGTAATCTGGGGTTGTATAGCTTGGATTTTTATTTCTCTGCTTAATACGGTAGAGTTTTGTTTCAGAGCTGCCTACTTGTGTCTTCGGAGGAATGCAGTGCACCTGGGCATCTGGTGCTGGGTAAAACTGTCAGGGAATAGAGGGCCTCTCTCATTTTTGGGGCTCTCAAAGCCCACTCTTACCCATCCTTTCCCATCCTGTGCCAGCTTCCTACCCCCACCCACTGTCAGGACCCCGTCCCAGGCTTCAAAGGACTTAGCTCATCTTCTTTCTCCTCTGGAGTTTTCAGCCTCCGTGTCCCTTATGAAGACTTGTTGGACCTGAATGATAGAGCACTTACCTACCATGCACAGGGAGCTGGGCTCAGCCCAGCACCACAAGGAACAAAACCAGAGTGTTTTATAAATACCACGTTTGACCGTCACAGGACTCTGCTGTGGCAGAGAAAATGGCCTCTGAGAATCAGGAGTTGAGTGGCCGTACAGCTGGTAGCTCAGGTCCCCTGGTCTAGCCTGGATTCTGCCCACTCTTGCTTCCACTCGTAATCACCATGCAGTTTTCTCCCTCGATGGAGCTGTAAAAAATGAATAGTTTTAGAAGCTTGAGACAGGCAGTGACTGGCTCACATATAGCCCTTTATTTGTTTGTTTGCTGGCTTACTTATTTATCTTATTTATGTTTTCACTGCATCACTGGGCATCCAACCCAGAACCTCGTGCCTGATAGGCAAACACTCTACCACTACCATTTATTTGAATTTTTATTTCTTCACGCATTCATTTGTTCATTCATTCATCCATTCTGGTACCAAGAATGGAAGTCAGGGCCTCACACACAGTAGGCGAATATTCAACTACTAGGCTGCATTCCCCAGGCCGCCAGCCCTTTGAATGACAGATGTTCAGATGAACCTTTTGATTGTTTGCTTCAAGTACAATTTCACCCACACGAGGCCATCCATTGAGTCAAACTTCCCAGCAGACTTCAGAGGACCAGGCGTAATCACAGGAGCAAAGGGACAGACAGACAGAAGGGGAAGATGAAAGTGGGGGGGGGGAGAAGCAGCCTGCCACATAACATACCCAGGGCATGGAGTCACTGAGGAGGATACTGAGAGGGCACCCATGTTCACAGGGCCAGGCCAGAGCCTTGTCCCCTTACTCCCACAAAACACACACCTGTCACCGAGGGTGGTTGTCACTCCCATTTTAATTTGACATGGAAAGGTTAAGTAGCTTTGGTAAGATAACAGAGCTAGTATGTGGCAGTCAACCTTGAACTTTGATCCATAGCCCCCTGCTTCCACCGAGACTTGATATGCTCTATTAGGAAATGTGGGGACGCTCAGATCTCCTCATCTCATCCAAAGGGAGGGCTGTGTCACACGCAGAGCCACCCAGAAAATGACTTCTTAGTAACGACGTCCCAGGTGCCGATGACAGCGGAAGAGAAATGATTATTTCTCCAGCTTCATCTCTTTGATCCCTAAATAGAATCTATTTCAACTAATTTCAAAGCATGAAAAAAAAAGAGCAGAATGTTAAGAGAGAGAAGTAGCTTGTAATGTGTCGTGTCAGAAACGCGTGTTTTCGTTGAGCTTGCTCGTGAGCTGGCTTGAAAAGAAAAATCAGATAAATAAGCGCCCAATCTGTTAACGGCACAGAAACTTTAGGACTGCAGGCTTCCTTACAGTTTGAACATTTTACATTTCACTTTCCAAAGTTCACCCGGGAAGTGTTAAGCACATCGATAATGTTTCCAGCACACGTGCCAGTGAGTACTTTTGAAAGTTTATCAACTGGCCGAGAAGTATTTGCTACTGAAACTTGGCTGTTCCTCCCCCACCCCTCCCAAACCATTTACTTGCTCCGAATTACCTCTGAAATTGTGTGGCTGTGGAATTTTAAAAGAGAGGGCAGCAGCAGGGGTGGGGAGCAAACAGGATACATTTTATGAGTAGCTCTTGGCCTGTGGCCAAGACTTGCTTAGACTCTCTCTGTAGAGATTGCCAGGGTTTATCAAGAAGTGTGGGAAGTGGGACCCTCAGAGAAATCCTTGTCTCTTTAAGAAGTCTCTCTACTTGCTAATGTGCTTGCGGCCATTGGCTGCCTAAGCAGTTGTCACCCCCAAGAAGAGCACAATCTCCAAGCCCAAAACCTGTATGTTTCCATGTGTACCTGAAAGACGGTTCTGTCATTTCACTAAATTACACAGCCCAGTCTAGTGAGTAAGACATTGTTCGGAGGGCAGGAAAGAACCTTGGAGATGGGCCCTGTAGACGCAAGGGCAGCATCTCCCAGCCTGTGAGCTGAGGACCAATTCCTGGGGCTTCAGTTTTGTTTGTGCTCCAGATGTGAAGCACTCCAGTGATTTGTAATGAGCAGAAGCAGGTCGCCTTGCGGGTTGGTGGTCCAGGCTTCAGAAGCTGCATCTGATGAGAGCTCTTCTTGCTGCCACATCCTGTGTGCAAAGAGGAGGCAAGAGATCAGGAGGATGGACTGTCAGGCTTGAGCACGTTGGTAGTTAGCACTCTTCCATCCGCCAGAGCGGAGCTGATGACCTCGCCACCTCCCTTAGTCCCCATCCCATCTCCAACGCTGCTGTACTTGGGATGGTTTCCCACACGGGGTTTTGAGAGGACACATCCCAGTCTCCGCACAAGGTAATGACAGCTTCCTCATCAGGACTTTCCAGTCCCTGAGAATCCATCCTCAGGAACACCCACCCTGCTGGCTTTGTTGAAGAAGGGCCTTTTCCAACTGAAGGTCATTGGTCCGTTTCTCTTTGATATCTGGAATTGTTTTCCAAGAACCCCCACCCCAAGGGAAATTAGGATGAAAGCACTCAGTCATCCAGGACATGTGCTTGGCTCTCCGTAGCGGGCCCACCCTTTCACAGGCCCGCTGTGGTAGGTCTAGAAGAGCAGGCATTGTGTCCCCAGCTCTGAGTCAGTCACTCAGTATACACCATGGGAGCCAGGGCTCTGCAGCTTTCCCATAAGTGCGCATGACCATCGTATTTGGAGCAATGGATGCTGCACCCTGAGAAGGGCCAGGACAGGGATTGGAGGCGGTGATTCCAGCTACGCCTCTCGTGGCCATGCCAGACTTCATCCACTCTGCCTAGAAGGTTCCCAGGCGGGTTGCTTGAGGAAGATGTCCTCTGCCCTGTCCCTCTCTCCCTGTCTTGGGTGTCACTTCCCACCGGAAGCACGTGGCTCACCTCCTGTTCCCTCTTCTGCTGCCTCCTCTTTGCCCCAACCACCCCCGGCTTTCCCATTCTACCTGCTACAGACCAATGTGATTGTAGACTTTCTACTGCCAAAGAGCCTCCGGTAGGCTTTTTATTTTTAAATTTTTATTAGCTAGCATTATGAACTGGGACGTAGTTCAGGGGGGAGAGTGTTTGGCTGACATGCTCAAGGTTGTGGGCCTGAGCCCCGGCACTGTAAAAATGTATAAATACGTTTATTAAATAGTTAGCTAAATGTAGAAAATAGCTTCTGGTTTAATTAAAAACAATTAAATGACTGTACTGTGTTGCTCTTAAGAAAAAAGTATGTTGTTCTTTGTTTAAAAAAGGAAAAAAGGAGAACTTACGGTCGCTTTTACCAGAAAGAAAAATGTTCACCTTTGATATCGATGAATTACTTTAAAATAGGGTTTAAAACAAATACCTTTGGCCCAGTCGGAATGCAGTCACCCCTGTTCCTTACTTGAGTTTTGCAATAAGCACTCACTGTCGTTACCTTCTGCAAAACCACTGCTTAGGCTGTGTTTATGTAGACTTAGGCCACTGCCAGGAGGCTGCCAGCTGACTCCACAGCACAAGAGTTGGCTTCACAGAGGCCCAGAACCACGGTCAACACCCCCTTTACAGAGAGACTCCTGTGTCCAGAGAGCAGATGCATAAAAAAGGCATAAAATTCGACACCCACACAGAGGCCTGTTTTAATTAGATTCTGAAGTTTTTCTGAATGGTCCATTTAGAATATTCTTCCATCCTCTCCTGTGCCAGCACAGAGCCCTTCCTTCTTGGGTAATTTCTGATTTCAAGTGTCTGTTTTTCAGACATCAACCCCTCCTCCCTCCTTCCCTCCCTCTCTCCCTCTCTCCTCCCTCCCTCCCCTCTTCCTTCTTTTCTTCCTTTTCTTTTCCCTTTCTCTTCTTCCTTTCTCGCTCCCTCCCCTTCTGCACCTTACCCCATTCTCTTCTCATTCCCTCCTCTTCTTTCTTTCCCTTTGAAGTTTTGCACACAAACACGCTTAGCGTGACTTTCTTCGGCTCCTCAGCTGATGCCCCTTTTCAGAGTCCAACCTAAAGGAGGCACGGGCGCTGCCCACCCTGCAGCCAGGGCCCTGATGTTGAGCTGTGGGGGCTTGCTTGGAAAAGAAAATTACAACTTGATGTTTCCTTTTGCACTTGCTGCCTGCTCTTGCCGCAAGCATTTTCTGTAGCTGCAGAGCAGTGACTAAGCTAGCCACCACTCGTCCCTCCGAGAATAGGAACAGTGGGGCTGGACAGAGAGCCCAGCTGTTAAGAAGGCCACTGCCTTTGCAAGGCAGCCAGGGTTGGTTCTCAGCACCAACGTGACAGCTCACAATCACCTGTAACTCCAGTTTTGGGGGACCCCTTCTGATCTCTGTAGGCCCTTTCACATACATATACTTGAGTCTATACACACACATGCACAAAATAAAACTTTATATGTATATTAGAGGCAAAGCTTAGCAGCCTTTCCCAGGAAAACACACACACATAAAACCCTGTACCCATCTCAGGTTCCCAGCCCTTCTGATCTAACAGGCCACAGTTCTCCCAAGCTGCACACCTCAATGGAGGCTGAACACGCCTTGAGGGACATTGAGTAAGGCGAGAGCTAAGATGGACAGCATTCCTGTCCTTATATTCATTAGAAGAGATTAGCTTTTGAAATTAGTGTGGCAATCTGAATCCTTTTGCATTTTGAATATGGCAGTTCAGACCCCTAGCCCCCAAAAGAAAGCTGATTGTGTTGACAGTGGAAGTAATCAGCAGTATTTCCACCCCTCCTAGTCCACAGAGTTAACCAGCCCATCACTCCGCAGGGCATTTGGGCTGAAGCCGATTTACTCTTAGTGAAAAGCTGCCTTAGTGACCTGACTGTAAGTTCTGGGCCACCATTCACTGCTCATTTTCTATGAACCTCAGTTGAGAAGTTACGTGGTAAAACTTTCCATTGTTGGTGTTTCATCTGAGGAGAGATACACAAGACCATCCTTGAGTTTCAGGGGTTTCATTTAGCTCCATAAATCCCTGAAGAGTATTTGAGTTTTCCCTTGGCACAGTAGGAAAAAAGAGTTTCCTTGTTGTCTGGGATGCTGGGAGGAGTTGCCTCTGTGCAGAGGTCTGTTGGGATGCTTTCCCAGTCCGCAGGGTTCTGTGCTGTGGTCTGTAGCCTCTTAGAAAATCATTTCCCTGCCAGGTGTGGCATCGAAGTAGAGCTTTTTATGATTCGGTAGTTCAGAGGAGACTGGGTGGGGCTCTTTCATTATATGGACTAAGTCCCACCAGGATGGTGATGTCTGCCTCTGCTCCTGAATAAGCTTCTATTCTAATCACTGCCCTTTCCCTCTGTAGCTAACAATAACTTGACTCCAGACTTTCACTCTCTTAGATATGGGCATCCCCCAGTTTCCAAGCTAGCATAGTGACATCCCTGATTCCACTTCTATCTCTAGAAAATGTGTGTCTGGTGGTGAGTGGGTGTCTCTATGGAATTGTGTAGACTGGGGATGAACGTGGGAAAGCATATGGTTTGCTTCCGGGACCACATTTAGGAAATAACTGCACTGCCTTCTAATAATATTGAGCCATTTGCTTTGGTAGGTAATTGAGGCCTGCCCCGGTCAGGTAATAATCTAGCTTAGAGAGAGCAAAAACAAGTTACTGTTAGATTTGATTTGTTCCCTGACCCATCCTGTGAATATCAATGCTAACAACAGTGTCTTGTGTTTTTTTTCCTCCTTGTGTTTCTTTTCTTTTTTCTTTAAATCAATGTGCTTTTTTTTCCCTATGTGAATAATTATATGTCTAGAAACAGCCATGGAGTGATTTTGCTGTTCTGAATGGGGGAAAGATTAATAGTGACATTTGGAAGGCAAGTATACTGTCAGATTTTAGAACGTTTAATATTTTTGTGTTCTTTCTGCATGGCTGTGGCTGTTTATTTTTCTTCTTCGTGAATATCATGCATTCTGCAGGGACGGAGCAATGGGGCTTCTTGCCAGGGGTGCCACTCTCACTCACATTGTTGGTTTGTTTTTCCAATGTCTCCCATTGTGAATGACTTCAAGCTGGTGTGCCCAGGTCCCCTGTGGTCCCGTACGAGCCAGAGCTTGTGATCCACATCAGCACACAGCAGCCGTTGCATGCCGTTTTCTGCCTAAGCTCATACCCACTCTCTGCCTCTTGCTGGGGCTCGCTCTCCTCTGTGGTATTTGAGGCAGGGTGATGGGCCCTTCCATCAGACCCTAACAGGATCTGTTTTTCCCTCTAGGATTTGCACGCAGCCACAGTTAACCCAGACCCCAGTTTAAAAGAGTTTGAAGGAGCAACGCTACGCTATGCATCCTTGAAACTCAGGTAGGAAGGCGGGAGGGTTTGCCAAAAGGGGTGGTTTCCGCATCAGTCTTTACAACAGAATTCTAAGACCAGTTTTATGTCTTCTTTCTAGAAACGCCCCTCATGCTGATGATGATGATTCTTGTAGTGTCAACAGTGACCCCGAAGCCAAGGTTTGTAAGAAAGGTTCCTTTAGCAACTAGCTTGTATTCTCCCATCGGAGTAATGGCTTTGAATAATGCCATCCCCCTGAGCCACTTACTAAGCCATTATCCTCTCATTGTCTCTCTTTCTTCGTCTCTGTGGCATTTTAAGAAAACCCCTGTTCCAGTTTAGGTTTGTGGTATTTCTGTAATCACCACCATGTGAACTCTCACCGTGTTGTGCAGCGACAGGAGTGGCAGCCCTCAGTCAACACAATGATGGAAAAGAGGAAACAACTGACATGTGTCAGTAGATTGTGTGGGGTTCTGTGGGTTAAGTGGATGGAGCGCATGCTCAGGTCACATGGCTATCAGTACGTAAGCACTGAGTCTAGGAGCACCTGTGGCTCACTGAAGACTATTAGGGGGGATGGGGCACATTCTGAAGGGACAACTTCAGACTTAAACCTGCTTCAAATTACTCCTGCCCCACCTTTGGTCCAGAAGGCACCCCATGATATAGAAACTCACTATGAGGGGAAAGGGGCTTCAGGCTTTGGTACCTTTATAGTAATCACAGTGTATATTGGCCTTCCGGTTTCTTATAGCCTCTAACTTCATTGTACAATCAGTGCAACTCAAGGTTGACCTCTGGCCTACACATATGTTCTTGTACATGTGCACACACACACACACACACACACAAAACACTACAAAACATATCTAATTCCATGTTCTATAGAATTCTAAATATGGTATATGAGAGAAATCCAAAAGATTTATATGAAAATGTCTCCCTGGTCTGGAGAGGTGGCTCAGTGGTTAAGAGGACCTGGGTTTGGTTTCCAAAAGCTAACAACCACCTGTAACTTAACTGTCAGGGACTTGATGCCCTCTCTTGCCCTCATGGATACTCTTAAGCAAGAAACATACTCTGTCATGCAAATAAACTTAATTTTTTTTTTGTAAAATGTCTTCATACACACACACACATATATTTCACATATATAAAGTTACATGCTAGGAAAATAAGAATAATTGCTAGGCCAGTTGTCTGATGAACCCTATAAACAGAAATGACAGCATACGTACAAGCACAAGTGACCACACATGCACATTCCCCAAAGGGGAAGAGTATATTTATAACTCTAAAAATCTATGAGCCTTCTTAATGTTTCCACATTAAATATGTTTTGTAATTGGTGGTCTTTTGCGTGTGAGCTTAAATGTAATTCTTAAGCCTAGTCTTGCTGGGCAGTGGTAGCGCACCCCTTTAACTCCAGTACTCGGGAGGCAGAGGCAGGCGGATCTCTGTGAATTCGAGGCCAGCTTGGTCTATAGAGCAAGTTCCGGGACAGCCTCCAAAGCAATACAGAGAAACCCTGTCTCGAAAACGACCAAAAGAAAAAAAAAAAAAAGCCTACTCTTATTTTTACAGATTCACTGAAAAGTTCTCAAGCTTGAGTCCCCGTATGCCCTCCGCCCTGTCTTCCCTGATATTAACATCTTCATAATCATAGAGCCATTAAGCAGTCCATTTCTTGCCAATATCCTTTCCCTACCCTGGCATCCACTGATTCTATGTGCAAATAAGGAGCACTTCAGAAGGTATGGCACATACCCCTTCCGGCAGTTCTCTGGTCCGTCCTCCTTAATTTCATTATTGCTAGCCATTATTGCTCTTTAATTAGTAGCACTGCCCCCTCCCCTCCCCCGTTTAGGCAGTGGCGCCATCGGTGCAGTTCGAACACTACAGAGCCAAACTACAGCTTCCTAAAAACAGGCGACGGTTTTGTCTTTCAATTACTGCTTTGCTAGAGGTTGCTGAAACTGATATTGCCAGATCAAAGGCTATCAGTCTTATGGCTTCTGTCACTTCCTATAAAATTGCTTTCAGAAAGCCTACAGTAATATTCAGTCCTATCAGTAATACAGTAGGTTCCCCGCACACCCACATGCCAGGTCACCCGAGGCTTGGCGGTTCGTTATTTGTCTTTGTTTTATTGCATATGAACTATTACTTTCTGGTATTAAATTTCTCCTCTTCCTCCACCTCCCTCCCTTCCTGTATTAAAGAGTCACCCATAGTTGCAGGCATGCCATGGAGAGCCATGGCCCGTCTTAAAATGATTGTTAAATGATCCGCAAGTAGGGCATTTCTTACAGAATAATTGAAAGCTCTTAAGTAAGCATTCCATTCTGATTTGGCCAGGATTTCTTCAACTGTCCCTTCTTGGCTCAGGATATAGTCCACGAAGGCACTCGCATTTAGTCCCTAGAGGTTTTTGTAGGTGCAAAACATGTCTGCTATGATAGTCTTCAGTGCTTCTGTCGATTATTTCTTTTTCTCTTCACTGACTTTGTACCCCAGCACATCCAGGCCTTTTCCAGATGATCACAACAATACCACTCCTCACTGTAATTGACCAGGTAGGAAGCCACAACCGAGACCCCATTATTTGCGGTCTTTCCTGTGCCCCCCCGTTTAGTCCTTCTCCTATGACACACACTGTGTTGCTGACCAAATGCATAATTAGCACTAAAATAAAATCAGATTGAAGAAAGGTTAATGCTTTAAAAAAAAAAAAAACAGTTCCTTCCCATCCTTTGTTGTGACTGTTCTGGTTTCTGTAAAGGAGGTTTTGTGCCACCTGGTGGAAAGTATTGAGGATTACACCTTCAAAGAAAAGGGCTATGTTTCCTTTGGAATCATTGAATTGTATAAACTGGAAGTGGTTTTAAAGATTTAAAAAAAAAAGTGGATTCTAGGGTTCCACAATTAGTGTCAGAAACAGTATTGAACATGGGTCTCCTGGGCCTCTGGCTGCCCGCCCAGTGCCACTATCTTTATTATGACAAATCACTTTTTGTGACATTTGCGCAGAAGGGCTTTGAGGACATTACTCTTTGAACTCACAGTAAAGGGAATGAATAAGCAAGATGATGTTGTCCCAAGCACAGATCCTTCGGGTTTCAAATTCCTCATCTGTAAAATGATCGTGCTTCCTTTAGAAGCCCCTCCTGGTTCTGAGACATCGTAAGATTGCGTATGAACTATAGCAGCCCTAGGCATTTAGAGATGGATTGGTCATATCTGTCCGAGTCTACAGAAGGAAGGGTGAGTTCCACCTCTGCTTGCACAGACCCTACGCCCTGCTCTGTCCTGGGAATGCAAGGATTCCTGGCATTGTAGATAGAAATCGATGCTTTGAACAGGTTTCATAATCCATTTCCTCCGTGTGCTCACCTGGTAGCTAGTGGAAATGAGACTTGAACATATGACTCCCAAGCCCAAGCAGGTGTCAGGCCCACATGTTGCAAGCCACTGCTTCCCCAGGCTTAAGGTCACTTTGGCTGTCAGGCTAGATGGGGTTGAGGTAGCAGAGTTGCTAGAGAGACATGAGTTGTGACATGAGGTCACTGCCTGAGGGTGGACTTCTCACTCCCTTCCTGTGGCCCATCGCTTTGTAGCATGTTGTCCTTGGCAACGTTTGTCATGATTGTCCTGGTGCAAAGGGTCACATTGCTGAGCCCAGGAGCCACATGGATGTGGCAGGCCTACCGAGAACACTACCCAGGTGACACTGTCAAGTTTGAAACTTGGTCAGAATGAGACATGGTTTTGGTGCATCTTCTGCAAGGACACCAGCATGGTTTTTTACTGCAGTACCTTCCAGTGCTGTGGCTGTTTGCAGTTGGTGATTGGTTGCTCGGGCATTTTAGTATCCAGGCACTGGATCTGCTGAAAGCTTTGCTTGTGTGCTGCCCTTGCTACTCCCTGCCCCACATGGAGAAGGAAAGGGATGAGGGATGCCAATCAGGGCTAGGTACGCTTGACAGAGGAACTCTCAGACAAACGATATGAGCACGAGGTTCTCATATTTCTCTTGAGATTTATTTATCTGAACCTTCCCTTGGTTCCTATTAGCATATATTTCCATGAAGTAATTATATTAGCCAGCAGCTGACTAGATTAACCCTAATAGATAAACAGGAAATCACAGGCAGTGCTGGCTCTCCTTCAGATTTGTCTCTGGTCTTTAACAAATTCATTATCGTTGCTGAGCATTTCTGTGGGATTTTATAGCTGTGTGTTATGTCCATGCCATTGAAAAATATTCCTGTGGTTTAGATCTAGTTTTCTCCAGAAATTCTGCACTCATATGAGAGATGCTTGGATTTGATTTGCATGGAGGATTCATTAACTAGGTGAAAACATTTGTTGAATTTAATGCCAGAGAACCAAACGAACTTAGTATTAAGTGTAACGAACGGTTAAGACGTGGACTCTGGACCTGGATTATTTTAGGTTCAAGATCAAGATCTGCTGTTTATTACTTGGCTGACTTTGGGATCTAATCCTCTGCATTACATAACAAACTACTACAAAACTTGGTAGCTGGAAACAGTTTTATTTTGCTCCTGACTGTGAGTTTTGGGAATTTGTGCAGAATTTAGCAACACAACATTAGTGCACTTCCTTCCTGATCCACTAGCAGGCAGCAGGGCCTGGGAAGATCTGCTTCGAGTGCGGCCTTCACAGGACACGCCCTCCTGGGCTGCTCCATGTTGCTTGGGCTCTTAGCAGTAGAGGTCACTGGGCAGGAAGAAATAGGAATCTAAGGCTACCAGATGAGAGAAGGCTTTCCTTGGAAGTGGTGCCATCGTATTTGTTAGTCAAAATAAAAGTCCAATTCAAGGGGTAGAGAAATGGGCATTTGCTGTGAGAGCAGCAGGGCCACAATACAGGGGGAGTATGTTGGGAAGCTTTACTGTGCCAACTCTGAGAGAGAGAAAAACAATCCCCAGGCACCTGCCATTCAGAAAGAATGCCCTTTGTGAAGGGCATCGCATATCTACATGACTCCGTCAAGAAACCAGGCCCCAGAGTCACTAACAAATGTTCTCCACCGGGGGCAAATGAGATGTACCTGCTGGGGCATGGCTTCTGGGTGGGCAGTCCTGGATGAAACAGTAAGATTTCTTCCTTGTCTTAGCCCCAGGAAGGAAGAGCCATAGGATAGCAAGGC